TTGTGGGGGGGGGGGGGGGGGGGGGGGGGGGGGGATGGATACAATTTTAATCGTTATTTTACTAATCAAAGGATTTTCGAGTCACGATCCAAATCATAGTGCAGTTTGCTTGCTTTTTACCAGATAATTCTATATGCGAAAGGATAAAAAAACCTTAGCAGTTCAGCAAAATTCATAATTATAATTCAGTAATTACATTGGAACACCCTGTCTGAACTAAAAGTTAACGTGAACAAAGAAATCATACTCAAGAACACAGCGAGGAGAAAATCACTTTCAATTTCATTGAGATGATTTAGTACAACAGGAATTTTCTGCAGAAATAATAAATAAATAAATATAGTCAATTGAGCGAGCTTTGTTCAGGTTCGTCTATCGCTGTCTCCAGTTTGAGGGGATGTCCTGCACTATAACTACCAAAAATTTAGAATCTGAAACTAGGATCCACATCCATCGCCCAAGTAAATTTTGCCAGGAGAGACTTGTTGAATATCTGCATCAGTATGAAACAATTAGTTCATTCATGAAGTAACTAATTAAGAGGGCCGGGAAACAATGAGAAGTAATCCACGCAGAAATTCAAGTCTTCACCTTCTCGATAGGAACTTCATGACGTTTGCACCATGCAACTGTGATTCGAGGATCAAGGTAGTTGATCTTTGATGTGCCCAATGCTACAGTTTTCAAATCCTCTTTTGTCTCCTTGTCTCGTTCCATTTTTTCAATCTTCGCATTTGTTTGAGCTATCTTTTTCTCTAATCTGCACATCGTTTCATCATTAGCAAAGTGATATCTTACACTGAATAACTTAAAAATGAAATAAGTGTATTACGCTTCGGGGTTCAGATTCCTTTTCGGTTTCCCATCAGCACCCTTCACTGGGGGCTTTCCTTTCTTTGCTCTAGCCAAATCTGTCGTCAACTCTTCCAGAGCACCCTACAAACAATAATTAAGACAAGTTAATACACAAGACTTGAAATATTACATCCAAACTTTTCATACAAGTATTCAGTTCAAGGATGATAGCACTGAGAATTACTTTCAAAACAATCTTAACCTTCTTTAGCTTAAAAGTAAGAAAAAAGCAAATAGATAATGATCCAACAGTGCTAAATTCTGGCAGTGACGTCCTTGCATTGGCAGCTTACTGATGGAGATCAGGATAAGAATAAATATAGAGATATATTTTGATTAGGATTTGATAATAAGAATTTGATTTGAATTATATTTCAATTAGATTTTATAAGATTAGTTTTGATATTTCGATACAATTGTAGTTTATTAAAATTCTGTTTTCTTTTTAACTTCTTTTAGTTTAGATCTATAAATAGAGGGCCTTATTCATTGTAATTGACAACCAGATTATATGAATAAAGATTTATTTTCCTCTTGCCCTCCATTCTTCTCTTTTTTGCACCCCTTTCTCTCCTGGTTCCTAGTTGTTCATTGTCAAATTATACGCATCTTGCGTCACTTGCTTTCCCACATAATATTTCAGTAAAAATCAATCGAACAAAGTGATTAATTAGATTTAAAAGTCATTCATTACCTTTAATTCTTCTATCTTTTCATTCAAACGCAACATCTGGGCACTGTGCGACTTTGAGACAGTACGTTGATGATTACAAATGATTGCAACCTATACAAGCAACAAGAAAAATAGAAGTATTTTTCAACCAGACTGGAAAATAATGATGGCATCAGATATTAAGAGTTTTACAATCTTTACCTCCTTGTTCGCAAGTTGATAAACTACTACTTTCTCAGCTACATCACCACCCTTTGTCTCCCTACTCAACTGCACGAACAATAACAAATTAAAGAAATGCTAAATAGAAAAACTAGAATGTGGAATGTAAAATTCAGTGAAGGAATCAAGATGTAACTGTCTTAAGTCACTCTCACTTACACTTCTTGACATGAATAATTTCATTCACTAACTCACGGCATGTATATTTGTTGCCAATACTTAAAACTTCGATTGTATAAGCTAACCATGTGCCACATTTTACAAATGTCTAAGATATATAAGTAAATAGGAGCATCAATTTTTAGGAGAGATGAATGTAGCCGCTAAAATTTGAAGTTCAGTTCTAATTTCTGAATAACTGCTATTAATCCTCCGTTCAGAAAGAATTTAATAAATAGATAGAAATAAGTGAATGGTACTTGTGGGTCCATCGGAATGTTTCGTTAAAAATGAAGTTTGACCATTTATAAAGTTTGCCAAACGGGGGCCAAGTTTTGATAGACCATCAAGAGTAAGCACTACTAAAATTTCGCAACACAATATTGAAGTTATACATTATTATCAAGATCTTGTATCATCTTTCAAGTTTTTGAACATAGCCTGCACGTATATCCCACTTCTCCTTTCTTTCTACCTCAACATTTGAGGGCCGAAGTAAACGTTTTCTCATACACTTTTGATGCCACAATCATAACCAGACATTCAGCATACCAATACTAACTTGGAGAATAGAAATCCCTAGTTGAATCTTACCATCTCATCCAGGGTAATTGATGCATTGTATGTACGGAAAACTTTTGCTGTCAGACCAGGCATGAGTTCCTTCAAATGAGCATTTAGTTTACTTGTATCAAGCTGGTCAAAAAGATCATCACCACCCTTTTTGCCTGAAAGTAATACAAACAATATTAAATGTGTAACATTAAATTAAAGAAAAGATACAAATATTATACAAAAGACCATATACTGACCACTCCGGAACTGTTGGATTGCCCTGAATACAGCAGATTCAACCTCAACCTCATTTTGATACCGTATAGAATCTTTACCAAGGAAATCAAACTGCAAACACAGACAGATAAATTCAGTTGATTATTGTTAGCAATATGCCGTCAGGGTGAAAAAAACTTTCATGGTGATTATTACAAGAAACTCAATTCTCATAACTGTCAACAGTGTCAACTTATTGAGATGAAGTTGTTTCAATATACCTTTTTCCTCAGCATCCATCAAACTTGTGAATCTTACAAGGAAAATCTAAAATGTAGACATTTAAGAAATAGTTATACTAAACATAAAGCCACATTACCTTCAAAATATTTGGGGGTATTGGTTCTACATTTTCTACTTTCAATGTGCAGCAACCAACTGTATCAGCTTCATCATCATCCTGTAACATACCAAAAAGTGTTGAGAAGTTGCATCATCCCATTTTATTTGTCACAGGGAAAAAAACTGTAGAAAAAGCAAAATTAAGAACATGTAGCAAAGGGTGGATCATAATAACAGTTCTTTGCAAATAAATCCTTCTCATGTTCATGAAGTTCTGCGTTGCGGCAGGTTCACAGCAAGGGTGACACTTTGTATAATGCCGATGTAGCCGATTGCCCATTTATTGGAAGCAGGCCTCAGTTTGTTGTTGTTGCTCAAGAAGTTCTCAATCAACTAAAAATGCACTGTATAGGATGATTAAAAGCAAAAATTTTAGTTTTTATACCTTCTCGTTGCCTGCCCTAAGAGCTAGTTTATCAATAAGATAGGTAGCCACTGCTATTTGCTTCTTCGTGAGATCTTTACTTGCAAAATCCTTGGTATAAGCAGCTCTTATACCTTGAATATAGTCCTTCAGTCAAACAGCAAAGAGATAATTATGTTAAGTTAGTCCTAAAACAAAAGAATATGCTACACATCTAAGGATGTTTATTGGTTAACCGAATCTTCAATACTTTCAAAAGCCTTGATTTCTCATATTTCTCCTTGTCACTTTGCCCTTTCAAGGTACTGCTGGCTGCAAGAAAAACATATTTGAACTCCTTTGGATTGATTGGATCATTCCAAAATGCTAACCACGTCACAGTATTGTCATGTCTTATTTCTTTCCAGCTGCCAATAAATAAATTTGCAATATTACCTCACCGACCATTTTCCTAATCTTCAAAAGAGAACTAACAAGCGGGAAGAAGAACCTTTCACCACGGATAGGACACTCTGGAATTGGTGCATCCTTTCCAATATTTATAGTGATGTCACTAGGATGTATACGTTTTTTAAGCTTCCCCATCTGTTCAGCGATATTTTCTCATTAAAACTCCAATGTTGCCTCCAATTTTCAAATAAAGAGCCAGGACATAACAAAAGAGGAAATTTTAGATGAATTATAGAGCTTCACTGCTAGCAGAAAGATGTTTAATATACCTTTGGATGCTCTCCACGACCTCGGAACAATCCAGGTGGTTCAACCCTGAAGTTCCCAACCTGCAAATGACATCGTTACCAAATACCTCAGACATGCAGCAGAAGAAAGCCACAATAAATGAGTCTATGTCGTAATCAGCTAACAAAAATGTTTGACAAATAAGGCACCATGAACATCCCAAAAGATGAATATAACTATGCAGAATCCTTATCATTAATGCTGCAGTATAGACTAAAGCCAGCTGCACTTCAAACGTATTTACTGTACTATACAATTATACATGGCCTCATACACATCTTCAGTAAAAATCAAACTATTACAGAACTAATTATTGATATTTGAAGATTTTATTTGCTGGTTTGAAGAAAACAAACGTGAAAATATGCAAAACCTGCTAAAACATCAATAGTTAATCACATCTTTGCTTTTTTTACTAATCAGCAGCTCTTCAAAAAAATTAATAAAATATGCTCCACTCTCCAGCTCAATTATAGGCTGCACATCACACTTCTGTATTAGATTTACAAGGCATTACTAGCGCATTACAAATAGGCAGGATAATATGAAAATATATGCAAAGAAAAGAAAAATAAAAAAATTATTTCGCCAAGACACATTTATTTTTCCTTTTTCATAGTCTTTGAAGAAATATTGATGATTTTCTATAAGCAGCATATATATAGGAAAAACACAAAAATATACGGAATACAACATAATGTGTGTGTGTGTGTGTATATAGGAAAAACACAAAAATGTACGAAATACAACATAATGTAGATACCACACCTTCTCTTTGACTCCATCAACAATAGCCCACATATACTTCTCCTCTTGCTTCAACTTATCTTCTTTTATGGTCTTTTTCTCCTGCCAAAACAGTATAGTTCAAATTAGCCGCTATTAGTATTAGAACATGTATTACCAATATGTCCACTTGGTAAACACATCTATTCAAATACAAGGTATACAGCTAATGAATCAGGTTTATTTTAGAAGCACGGAATATTCTAACTGTTCCAGGACAAACAAGCTAGACAAGGCTTTTCTCTGTTCCATCAGAGAGAATGCTCATAAATGGCACAGGAAGAATAAAAACACAATAGACACGAAATGCAATTGAAAAGATCCCCCCAAAAAATTAACAGTGATTACAAAAACAATGTCTAAAAGGATGTTTATTTCTATTAATATAGCAAAACTATATCAACTAATTACTACGTAAAAAGTAACTTATGATTATCATGAGAAGTATGTAACTTATGAATTACAATAGTCAATAGTGCCCAGGCAAGCAGCAGAGTATATGTAATGATAGAGCAATCTGCACAAGTTAATGAGTTAAAAAAATACTAATACTCAGATGTGTCTTCTTGATTCAAGTTATATCATAACCAGTCTCATTCTGTGACTACTTAATTTACTTATGACAAATTTAAATTTAATATACCTGAAAACCTTCTTTTCCATGACATGACGTACAATAGACTATTTCAAAGTTTAAATGCGAAAACTAAATATTACAATACCGAGAGTCTAGACAAGCTGTCTTAGAGAAGCATATGTTTTCATATGAAATCATTGCAATGCGAATTCTGTCAGTTGTACTTATGTAGAAATCTGATTCAAGACAGCATTCTAAGATATTCTCCAAGAAACATCATAGTAATCCTTATCTTATAGCAAACTTGTTAATATTGGCAGATATGAATAAATCAGCTTGACTTTCAAATGTCCCTTAAATGTCACATACAGGAAGTATGACAAAACTTTAACTTACTTCTGTAGTCATCTGTTTCTTTTTCTCCTTTTCTTTCTGATGCCATTCATATATTGGGGTAAAATCACAGTATTCCAAGCTTTGAATAATGTGATTCTTTCCCAGTATTTTCCGCCAGTCACTCATGAAATTTTCTTTGAACATAGGTTTGTTCATGTAATCAGTATCTAACATCACCGCAAACATCGTGGCCACCTGCAAAAGGAAAGGTATAAACATTGCAAGGCTTGGAGCAATCTGAAGACAATTTTTTTGAAGATATAGACACAATGAACTAAAGAAAAGTTAGTAACAGTGTGTGTTGTGTGAG